TTTGTGATAACAAGGTATAGAGCTGGATGAACACAGCAGGCCAAGCAGCATCAGAGGAGCAGGAAAGCTGACGTTTCGGGCCTAGACCCTTCTTCAGAAATGGGGGAGGGGAAGGGGGTTCTGAAATAAATAGGGAGAGAGGGGGAGGCGGATAGAAGATAGATAGAGGAGAAGATAGGTAGAGAGGAGACAGACAGGTCAAAGAGGTGGGGATTGGAGCCAGTAAAGGTGAGTGTGGGTGGGGAGTTAGGGAGGAGATAGGTCAGTCCAGGGAGGACGGACAGGTCAAGGGGGTGGGATGAGGTTAGTAGGTAGGAGATGGGGGTGGGAGGAAGGACAGGTTAGGGAGGCAGGGACAAGCTGGGCTGGTTTTGGGATGCGGTAGGGGGAGGGGAGATTTTGAAGCTTGTGAAGTCCACAACTTTGTGTTCCTCAAGATCAATCACCAGAATGTCTCTGCAGTAGTTTCTCAGGGCAGTGTCCTCATCCCAGTCATCTTCAGCTGCTTCAATCAACCCTTCCTCCATCATAAAGTCAGAGGAGACATCTGTTGAAGATTGCACAATATTCTATACCATTTAGGGCTCCTCAGATTACTGAAGCACTCCACAGCCACACAGCGAACCAACTGAAGAAAATTCATGTTTGGGCTGGTATGCAGCAAGCACCATTTGTGTCTCAAGTGTCAGCAATGACCACCTCCAACAAAGAAAATCAAACCATCTCTCCACGACACATTTCATTGTGTTACCAATGTTCAATCTCCCACTATAAGTGTCAGAGCTTATTGATAACCAGAACATTAACTGGACCAGCTACATGTGTGCTGTAGTTGCAAGAGCAGGTCAGAATCTGGGAATGATACAGTGAGTAACTCACTTTGGGGAGTGCAGCTGCAACACTCAACAAACAGGACACTGTCCAGGATAGAGTTGCCACACACGATCTTAAACATTCACTCCCTCCATCACCTGGCCCATCCACTGACACTCACATTCCACAAAATAAAATTTAATCTTTTCAAACAAAAAAAGTAAATCCACCGGCACACTCAACACAGAAACTATTCGATTCATATAGTTTTTCTTAAAAGCGGTCTCAAACTGTAACAGAATACATAGACAATTTTAAGTGACATTTCTGGTATAAAGAACTTATACCACCTCACCCACACCACAGTTAATGGGCGGTATTTCCTGTGACAGAGTTCATGGGCGGTATTGAATGTGACATCTGTCACTTATCCGAGCCGAGGGATCCAGGAACGACCTCCAGTGAAGTCCTTTGAAGTAGCTGCCATTTCACTGATGCTCCCAGCTTCCCAGCAGCCAAGCAGTCTTTGAGCAGGATATATGGACACAAATGTCATAGACGGTACCCAGGAAGCACTAAATAACTGGTGCCTTAAGCTGGGAAGCAACACAAGTTACCCCATCGGTTCCCCAACCACTTGGCATAGGCCACTTCGGGAACCGTAAATACCACCCATTAACTCTGTCACATGAAACACCACCTATTAACGCTATCATTCCACAGATGCTGCTTGATCTACTGAGCATTTCCAACACTCGCTACTTTTATCATTGGATGACAACAAAGCCTTGAACCCCATCCTGGCTGGAGGGAGAAGTGATTGAAAAGATGGTGTACGTTGCTGCCTTCACCCACAACAGCTGAATCACAGGAGCAATCGGTAAGTGTCACTTAAACAAGGTTTTACTGTTGTGTGTGGGGGGTAGGAGCTGAAAAAAGAGAACAGAAAGTGTATGGTCTACCCATGTAGGAATGCAAATACAACTTTACTTGGAAGTTTAGACAATTTCATTCAATCAAGTGTGAGACAGAATTCTTGAAGTAACTGTTCTCTTGTGGCAGTGATCATTAGCAGGGCTGATGGGGATGGTTGGTGAGAAAGAGGGCAGTATGGGTTTTTCAGCCCCTTTGTTTCTCACTTTAACTCTTTGCTTTTATTGGTCTTAATTTACTGATGTCTAAATGTGCTTCTTACTCTTAATGCAAATCACTCCCGAATTCTCTCTCATTTCCTACATATCTCTCAGCCAGATCACCTCTCATATGGTGTCTTTCATTATAGAAGTCTTCTTAGTACTTTTTCACTTCATTCATTGGATGTGGGTGTCATTGGCTAGGGCAGCATTTATTGCTCCTTCCTAACTTTCCAGAAGGCAGTTAAGTGTCAACCATATTGATTTGGGTCTGGAGTCACATGCAGGCCAGACCAGATAAGGATGGCAGTGAACCACATGGGCTTTTCCTGACAATTGGTGATGGTTTCATGGTCATCTTTTAATTGCATCACGTGCCACGGCAGAATTCGAACTCAGTCCCCAGAACATTACCTGAGTTTCTGGATTAATAGTCTAGCGATAATACCACTAGGCCATTGCTTGCCCATGATGCATTACTTGTTTCTGCACTTCTCCCACGTTCCTTTTACTCTCACCTGTCACGGAGAGCTGGAGGCAGATTCAGAACTCCAAATCTTTGGAACCACGGCAAGAATCTTGATGGAACCTGAGGCGTGTCATGTGTTCGCTGAGTAGGCAGGTCAAGGGCGGAGGATGGGAGCTGGCACTTAGGGAGCAAGCTTGGGCTCAACGAGGAAGTGGGAAGCCAGGACTCAACTACAGAGCAATAGTTTGACCAGGAGTACAGGGACTGATAACTACATAAGCAACATTACATTACCATCAAATAGGATAGAATAAAGCAGATCTGCAGGATACAATTCACGACTAGGGGAAAGAAAATCCTTATACATAAATATTGAATAAATATGTTATTCCATTAGATAAACACCCAAATATGAAATTATACCCAAGTACAATTGGAAAAGTAACTAAGATTTCAATGTTTTAATTATATATCTATGGATGAAAGACTTCTTTATAAATTGTTATGCAGAACAAACAATAGAATTTTAAAATCATAAGTATGTTAGCAATAGACCAGAATTCTAATCAATCAATCTACATATAACCAATACGCAATATTGAAAATGCAGACTCCAGGACTCAGAGATGCAATAGCTGGCTCTGGTCATGGGCAGTACAGAGAGAACATCTTTAGTTCATGGTCACGTCAGAAGGGAAAAGGAACCTTGGCACGGAGCAAATTGAAATGATCGATCATAAATATTAAAAGGTGAAAGTCAAAAACTCGGGAATGAGCTTTGAAGTAGATAATGGAAAGCATGGTTAAAGGAGCAAAGTATTTTGCAAAATGTGTAGGAGACTGGGCAAGCTCGCAGTATATTTTCAGTAACCAAAGTAAAAATTCCTCTCGACTTCACCTTCCACCTCTACATTATTTGATTCTGAAGAAGGGTCACTGAACTCGAAACATTAACTCTGTTTCTCTCCCCACAGAAGTTGCCTGACCTGCTGAGTTTCTTCAGCAATTTCTGTTTTTGTTGTTTCAGATCTCCTGCATCCGCAGTCCTTTGTTTTATTCTATATTATTTGGACTGAGGTATTGCTACTTGTTCAACTTTGATGCACTAGTGTAAAACTTTGAACTTCAAGATCTGGAAGTTCCTTTCGCAACATTCCCTATAAAAGATGAGGATGTTTTATCTGGATTAATGGGGGCAGAGCAGGTTGTTATGTAGGTGAAATAACCAACACATTCCTCCACATACAAACACAGACAATACTGGAGAAACTCAGCAGGTCTGCAGCAGCTGTGGAGACACAAACAAAGTTAATGTTTCGAGTCCAGTACAGCTCTCCTTAAAACTGAAAGGGGTTGGAAAATTTCTTTTTCTATACTTTTGACAGAAGCAGGGGCCCAATGCAATAGACAAAGGAATAGTTAATGATGGTGAAAGAGAAAAATAGATATAAAATGGGTGTAAATTCAGGTGTGAAACAGAGACAATGAGTCCTCTCTACTAAAAGAAAAGTAAACATTACACAAACAAGATAAGGCTGTGTATGTGTGTGTGTGGTAGTGTGTGTGCGTGTGTGGTGGTGTGTGT